AAAATTTATTTGAAGAATTAATGACTAAAAATTTCCCTAACTTGGAGAAATATATAGACATACAAGTCAAGAAAGCACAAGGAGTCCCAAACAAGATGAACACAGAGTCCTGTACAACGACAAATCGTAATTAAAATTCTAAAGGCTAAAAACAAACAGAGAATCTTAAAAGTGGCATGAGAAAAGCAGTTAGTTGTGTACTGAGGAGTTCGCGTAAGACTGTCAGCTAATTTTTCAACAAAAACTTTGCAAGCCAGAAGGAAATGGCACAAAATATTCAAAGTGATGAGAACTAAGGGCCTGCAACAAAGATTACTCTACCCAGCAAGGCTATCACTTAGAATAAAAAATGAGGTAAAGAGCTTCCCAGATAAGAAAAAATGAAAGGAGTTTATTACCACTGAACTGGGATTACAAAAACATGTCAAAGAAACTTCTTTAAACAGAAAAAATAAAAAATATGAATAAGAAAATACAAGAAAGAAAAAATTCTCACTGACAAAAAGCAAGCACTTAGTAAATCAGTGGACCAACCAACTGTAAAGCTAGTACAAAGGTAAAAGAAAAAAGTATAGCGAACATGTGTGATTATTACAATAAATTAAGGAATACACACAGACACATACATACAAGAAGTAAAAAATCATGACCAAATGTAGAGGGGGAGAATATTAAAAAATCTAGTGATTTTAGAATGTGTTCAAATTTAAAATAGACTGCCATAAACATAACATGGTATATAGGAAGCATATGGTGACCTCAAACCAAAAATTTACAGGAGATATAAAAGAAATACAGAGAAAGGGATCCACAGCACTATAGAAAGTCATCAGCATATGACATCAACATATCTATTAATAATTACTTTTAATGTAAATGGACTAAGTGCTCCAATCAAAAGACAGAGTGTGACTACATCAATTAAAAGAAACACAAGACCTGTGCGTATTCTTCCCATAAGAGACACACTTCAAAGTGGAAGACACAAAGAGACTGAAAGTAAAGGAACAGAAAAATACATTTCTTGCAATGGAAATAAAAAAAAAAAGAAGCTGGAATAGCAGTATTTATATCAGACAAAATAGACTTAAAAACAAGGGCTGTAACTGAAATGAAGAAGGGAATTTCATAATGATAAAAGCATCAATCCTACAAAAGGATATAACTCTTGTTTTTGTGATTTTATCCTTACCATTTTTTTCATTGCTTTTATTCTTTCTTTTAATTTATTTTTTCAAATACATTTGTCTCTGCCTACCCCCCACCACTTTCCCTTGCCATCTCCCTCCTTCCCTCCCTCAGCTCTTCCTCTTTGGTTTTGTCCATGAGTCCTTGCTATATGGTCCTTGACTTTCTCCTTCCCTTCCTTTTCCCCGCCCCCTCTCTCTCCTTCTCTCTTGTCTCTGTTGATTTCTTTTCCTTTCAGTGTTGCTGGTCTTATTTTCCTTGCATCTTGGTATTGTTGGTTAGGTTCCACTTATAGGTGAGATCATATGGTATTTGTCTTTCGCACCCTGGCTTCTTTCGCTTAGCATGATGCTCTCCAGTTCCATCCATGCCGTTGCGAAATTTAGTAGTTCTTTTTTTCTTTCTGCTGCGTAGTATTCCATTGTGTATATGTACCATTATTGTTTGATCCAATCATCTACTGATGGGCATTTAGGTTGCTTCCAACACTTGGCTATTATAAATTGTGCTGCTATGAACATTGGGGTGCATAGGTTCTTTTGTATTGGCATTTTGGGATTCTTAGGGTAGAGTCCCAGCAGGGGAATCACTGGATCGAAAGGCAGTTCCATTTCCAGTTTTTTGAGGAAATTCCACACTGCTTTCCATAGTGGCTGCACCAGTCTGCATTCCCACCAACAGTGGACTAGGGTTCCCTTTTCTCCATAGCCTCGCCAGCACCTGTTGTTTGTGGATCTGTTTATGATGGCCATTCTGACCGGTGTGAGGTGGTACCTCATGGTGGTTTTGATCTGCATTTCTCTGATGGCTAGTGATGCTGAGCATCCTTTCAAATGCCTCTGGGCCCTTTGTATCTCCCCCTTGGAAAAGCATCTGCCCAGGTCCTTTGCCCATTTTTTCATTGGATCGTTTGTCTTCTTGGAGTGGAGTCGTGTGAGTTCTTTGTATATCTTAGAGATCAAACCTCTATCTGATGTATCATTAGCAAATATATTTTCCCATACGGTTGGCTCCCTTTTCATTTTGCTGATGTTTTCTTTAGCCGTGCAGAAGCTTCTTATTTTGATGAGGTCCCACTTGTTTTTCTTTCCTTTATGTCCCTTGCTTTAGGAGACATATCGGTGAAAAAATTGCTGCGTGGGATATCTGAGAGTTTCCTGCCAATGTTCTCCTCTAGGACTTTGATGGTGTTGCAACTTATATTTAAGTCTTTTATCCATCTTGAGTTTATTTTTGTGTATGGTGTCAGCGGATGATCCAAGTTCAATTTTTTGCATGTAGCCGTCCAGCTCTCCCAACACCATTTGTTGAAGAGGCTATTATTGCTCCATTTTATGCTTCTGCCCCCTTTGTCAAATATTAGATGCCCATATTTCATTGCTTTTAGAGAGAGGAAGGGGGAGAGGGACTAGAAAGAGAGGAAGGGAGGGAGAAAGGCAGAGAGAGAAAGACTGATGGGAAAGAGAAACATTGATTGGTTGCCTTTCATACATGCCCCAACTGGGAACTAAACCCACAAAGTAAGTGTGTGCCCTGACTGGGAATTGAACCTATGCCCTTTTGGTCTGTGGGATGACACCCAACTGAGCAATACCAGCCAGGGCAAGAAGACATAACTCTTATAAACATCTATACGTCCAACATGGTGGCACCTAAGTATATAAAGTGAATATTGATAGAATTGTGGTAGGGGATTTTAACACCCCATTGACATTAATGGATAGATCATCTGCACATAAAATCAACAAGTAAACAGCAGCTATAAATGACACAGACCAAATGAACTTAATTAATATTTTCAGGACATTTCACCCAATAACAGGAGAATATACGTTCTTTTCAAGAGCACATGAAACACTTTCTAGGATAGACCACAGTTAGGCCACAAAATAAGTCTCAGTAAATTTAAGAAGATTGGAATTATATCAAGCATCTTCTCCAAACACAATGGTGTGGACTAGAAATCAATTACAAGAGGAAAACTTAAAAACACACATGGGGCTAAACAACATGCTTCTAAACAATGAATGTTTTATAATGAGATCAAAGGAGTAATTAAAAGATACCTTGAAACATGTAAAAATAAAAACACAACAACCCAAAATCATTATGTTGTATACCTGAAACTAATATAATATTGTATGTCAACTGTAATTGAAAAATAAATTTTTAAATAAAAATCATAATCATAGGGTTGTTATGAAGATTGAATGAAAGGAGATAATCTAGCACAGTATTTGGCAAATTATTATAAACTCAATAAATATTAACTATAATTTTATTCCAAAAAGAAGAGTACTTTGTGTCTCTTTGGTTTACCATTACTTCCTGATTCATTTAAATGACATGATGTGTACGAATTGCCTAGCACTGTGCCTAGCTGTTAGTGGCATTCAAATAAAATAGTAATGAAGGTGCAGGAGTCGTCTTATATTTAGTTATCTCCTAATTGATTCTAGGTGGCAATTTTTACCTGACAAAAGTTCTTCATTCTGCTATATCTCAACAAATCGAGAGGATAAAATATTAAAAATGTTGCACCACTGAAACTAGAAATTACCTGGCACTTATTCTTTCATATTTTTTGGTTACAGCATTTATTAGTGTCTATATTCACATATGAAAAAAATGACTCTCAGAAATGTTGAGGGATTTTTTTAAGATATTAAATAAACCAATAACCAAGTAACAAGAAACATTGCTCACTTATCCCACCTACAAATCCACTGGTAGGCAGCTCCTGGTGATAAGGAAAAACTAATCCCTTTCCTGAAGCGCTACATAAACAACAAAACAAAGTACCAAATTGCTTTTTTGCAGTAATAAAACAATCAAAAGAAAGGAATATGAAAGTATAAAAGGGTGCTCATTCTAGTTAAGGTTAAAATAAGCATTGGCAAATAAGATAAAGATGGAAAGAAAGATTTAGCTTAACAGAGAAAATGATTTTGACAAAAAAGGTCAGACAGAGCCATCATTTGTTTAACAGAGTAGTGCTATTACAGTCACCAAGCACATTCATGACAATGCAGATGTATTTATACACAGAAGAGAAAAGGTCCTATTCAAAGCAGATCTGGCAGAGATTCCAAGGGGTTCTTTGCAACCTTTTCATTTGGATGCTATTAATGAATGACTTGGTCAAACTAAATTAAGAAAGTTTAAAAAGACTTTAGTAAAATTCTCTTTCTACTAAACCTTTGTTAGTGGATTTGTCTAGCAAAATAAAGCAAGCAGATGTCTGCTGCCTTTCTAGTCATCTAGTTAAAATATATTCTTTACTAATATTAAATCCATTTACACATTTTCATAATGGATTACTACAGATATCCCAGACTACCTATAAACATGCACCATTTATCTCAGATCAGGAGGAGCTGGCAAAGTAATATTCACTTACAAACTAAGATAAATTTCCAAGTGTCTTGAGTTTTAAAGTTCCTCTTTCTCAAATTATTTAAATTTACATGTATATTATTTATTTTACCTATATAATTATGTTATCATACATTTTTTTATATAGGACATAATAATTTAAGTGGCCAAAAGCCTAGAACTTTCTCCTAGCCATTTCCTTACATGTAAGCATCTTCTGTGGCTCAGTCTCCACTGGCTTTAATAATACTTGTAACTTCTGTCTTTTTTCTGTTGAAGTGTATGCACTAGTTTCACAACCTAATCCAGTCAGCTTCTAGAGGGTGACATTAAGAAACAAGGGTGAGGCCAGAATGCAGTAAGATTGATGCCAGGTTCAGAGGATGGAATTAGAAGTGAGAACAAGGCCAAGGTAAACTTAGCCATCTTTTACTTACAGCTGACACGTGCTGCAACAGACACATGACATCAATCATGTCTGCCAGGATGAGGAGTCTGGTAACTGCAGCCAGCAAGGCACGGGCAGCTTGAACCACAGCTTCCCTTTTGGGGAGATAACAAGGGTCATCTGCGAATCTCTCAGCTGACACTTTCAGAGCTTCACCTGAAAAACACAACCCCAAATAAGTCATACTTTATTTTCAGCTAAGCATGTTTCAGCATTTATCACCTAACCTAATTCCAAGTACATTCCATGACTAAGCATAATATTAAAATACTGTCATTTGACACTAGAATGCTGTCTCTTAATAAACAATGCAGTTTCAAATTGGCATTTGTTTTTCATAAAGACTCCGTCATTTAAGAAGCATGATACTATTTTCCTGCAAGAAAATTGTGCTCAGTTCACTAGCAACGTCTAGTAAAATTGCTGTCAACATCTGCATTTACTGAATCTCATTTCTGTGAAAGGTTTCGTTACTAAGACTTCAACTGGATACAAATCTTGGGTATAAGAATAAGGTAAATCTTCATTGAATTACTTCCCAACCCAATGGATGTTAGAAAGGAGCTAGCCTTTAAGATAGTAAGACAGCAGCTCTCTGACAAAAGTTTAACATAGGCTGGTTTATCCTAAACTGTCAATGCAGTAAGTAAACTGTATCCTGACCTTAGTACAAAAAATAATATTTCATAGTACATAACTATTAGAAATCTGTCAACTATTACAAAGGTTTTTCTGTTAAAATACCTCTTATTATAAAAAAGTAATGTGTACTCATTTGTTTTTTAAAAGTTCAAAATTCAGAAGAGTATAAGAATGGAAATAAAAAGTCCCTCTTTACCCCCTCCAGTAGCATAATTGTTAACAAATTACTACATCCACTGTTAAATTTTTCAATTTAAACTTATTTGTATTATGAAAGCAATGTGTGCTTATTGGTTTTAAATTATTCTTCACACTGAAGAATATAGAGCGAATGTTTTTTAAGTCTCCATACTATTCCCCCCAAATACCCATTAAGTTCTTACATATTCATCCAAAAATTTTTCCGTGAATGTTTTTGTGTGCATCTATGTGCATATATGTATATTTACATGTGTATTTTATTAATATATTCACATATTCATATACATGAATATGTGAATATATTTTAGAGAGATTTTATGTCATAAGAAAATATATATTCTGTTATTAATGGACCATATAGAAGATATAGACATAGATCCTGTTCATAAATGGTATCATACTATAAAATCTTTCTACAATATGCTCTTCTCACTTCAAATTATTTTCTTTTCATATTAGGATAGAGATGACCAGGAAGTTCTATAGCACAGTAACCAAAAGTGTGGGCTCTGAAGCCATTCTGTTCCACTGTCTCAGTCCTCGTGTCTTGGACAAGTCACTTAGCCTCTGTAAATGGATCTAATAATAATAATACCTCAATTTTTATGAGCATTAAGTAAGAGCAGTGCTTGGAACTTAGTGAAGATCTAATTAGCTTGTATTGTCATTATGTTTAATCCTTAATTAAAGTTATATTTAATTGATATACTTATTTTACCAGGCCCCTACCCTTATTGAACACACAAATCATTTCCAGCTTTTTTCTGTGTAAGCAATACTACAAAGAACACCTATGACACATATTTTTGCATGCATGAACAAATTTAGCTGTACGATAAATTCATAAAAGTAGAATTGCTGAGTCAAGAGGCAAATGAATTTATATATATATATATATATATATATATATATATATATATGGCCAAAAAATTCTCCAAAATACAGCCATCTCACCAACAACATATGAAAGGACCTATCTTATCCACTATACTCCATGAATATTTTAGTTTTCATTTATTCATGAACTTCAGCATTAAAAAAATGTAATAAATTATTTTTATTAAATATAACAAAGAATAGAGTGCCTTATAATAGAGAAAACCTGTAAAGAGGGTCTGAGATTATCTCAGCATGTTAATATATCACATTTAGCTCTCTTAAACAACATCAGGTTAGGAGCTCAGACTTTTAAGTCAGAAACTTCTGAGATCAAATTCTAATCCACTACTTCTAGTTTTGAGACTTGGACATTAATTACTTTTATTGTCCTTACCTATAGGAAAGAAATAAAATATTACTTATCTCACAGTGTTTCTGGGATGTTTAAATGAAATTTAGTACATAACATATATTTAGCACACATGTGAACATGGAAAGCACTCAATAACTATTAGAAGAGATGGCAAACTTTTAAGAAAAGTAAATGGTGATTTTTATGTGTTTTCCTTGATAACAGAAGTCAGAACTTCAGCTAGGAGACTGAAAAATTACAGTAACCTCCAAAATTTAGAGAACAGATGAATCCCCACAAAAAGATTATCTTTTCTTGACACGATTCTGAATTGAAAGGTTATGATAGCCTTTGTAGAATACTGTCTTTGACTTCATATACTAAAAGTAAATATACATCAAAAAAGAATTATGTGCTCTTGACTAAAAAGCTGAGAGGTTGAACAACTAGTGAAGAGCCATACTCAGAAAAAGATTATTTAAACATTGAACAACAATTACAGTCTTTGACTCTATTAAGTAATATGAAGGGCCAACCAGGTAGCACTGTTAGGAGAAAAAAGTCGCTCCTGAAATACAATAATAAAGATTCAGTACATAAACTTTTTATTACTGGACTCACTGTCCCCCTCTCCCCAGCAATGCTCCCAACCCTTCTCAGATGATTTGGGCTCATACTTCTGGTCCCAATATAAACATCACTTCTCCTGGGAAGCCTTAGATCCCCATTACTAAGGCAGGTCTTTTGGGAGGAGTCTATGCTTCTTATCATAAGCCTCATTATCATTAATTGTAATGACTTGTATCAAAACTTTTTCCTTCTGAATGATAAGACTAATGACAGTAAATGCTGCATTAGTCCTGGTTACCACAGGATTCCCAGAGTCTAAAATAGTACCTACTCTATTGCCTATATACAGGGTCTAGCACAAATAACACCTCTTTTTTATTACAAATCTTTTATTACACAATCATAAGCATGTAATTCTGTAACATAAAATATCACACTCAAGCACACCATATGACATTTTAGGTGAAATTTTCAAATTAAAACTGTAAATTATTACACCCATATTATTACCCTACCAACCACACTCAAGTAGGCGTTACTTCTGCCAGACCCTGTATAGTATGTTGAATGTGTGCTGCTGAATAAATATGTGAATGAACATTATCCAACTTTCCTTTAACAATCATTTTTTGTTCCCTACAACACAGCTCCATCTTAGGCATCCAGGATATACAGGTCAATATGAAGCAATTTCTTAGCCCAAGAAGTTTACAAAGGAGAATAAACAAATGCTGTGACACAGTCTAAGCTGGGCTCCCGTACAAAGTACTAAGAGGCACAGAGAAGGGCTTACCACTGCCTGAGGTATCAGAGGACACATAGAAAAGACTGTTCTAGGTAAGAGCAACATGTTCCAGTTATTGACAAAAATAGCTGGCTTATAAATTTAGTCAGGTCACTGTCAAATTAACTTGTGTCAGGAGAAAATAGCTATTTTCCTAACTCACTAAGGAAAAAACAGTACAACAAATTTCCTTTCTATCTAGAATATTATCATCCATGTCTTACAATTTCTACACATAGAGAGTATATTCTTTTGAAATATCATTCCCATCTTATAATGCTATTACTTTGAAGTTTAATGAATAGGAAATTCCACTTTTAAAATATATACTAGTAAACTACATTTACCGTCAAGAAATCCCACTCCATATATAAAAGCAATTTACTGAATTCCTTGAAAATACAAGAATGAGGTTCAGGAAGTTTCTTTCTACTGGATTCAGTCTATTCCTTTCCTATCAAATATGCTCTTTTTAGTCTTCAAAAAAATCAGTTATGAAATGCCTTCTTGAATAAAGTACTAAGATATATATTCTACAAAGATTTATATAGGTACATCTCATACAGATATGGGTAATACATGAAAACTTCTGAATATAAAAAAATTTGATATATAAAAACTTTATATGATCATATGAATAAACTCTAGAAGTAAAAAAAAGAAAAGAAAAATTTGGGGCCAAGTAGACACATTATAACATATTCTTTGCTTTATAAAAGATATCTACATGGTTCTTCTAAATAGAAAGTTCCTTGTTGCATTTATAACTATAGCTCCACTTTTTAAAAGCAATTATGTTGATTATAAACTGGAAAATCAAAAAAAAAAAAAAAACCACTGTATAAGCAAAATATCCAGAGGAGAAAGGGGCACAATCAAAATGAAAAGGAGTGAGAACTAAAAGTCAAATTTCCTCCCACTTTTATAATTAACATTATATTTCTGATTCAATTAAGATTTCTAGTATATGCTTCTAGCCACTCTTTTGTTTGTTTTAATATACCATACACAAGTAATATGCACCAATGCATATTAATTGGTTCTATATATAATAACATGGGTTCCTAGGCTAAGACTGGGCACTAGGGGTTTGCTTTTAATTTAATTGGGAAACAGCCATTTTGAATTTGAAAGCTCCTAAGAAGTAGGAGCTTGAATTTAACTTTGGAGCCAATCAATTATTTTTTGCAGGGTAGAGGGGAGGTTGATGTCAATTAGGTCCTAGACGGAAGGAGGAAGGGAAGGAAGGAAGGAAGGAAGGAAGGAAGGAAGGAAGGAAGGAAGGAAGGAAGGAAGGAAGGAAGGAAGGAAGGAAGGAAGGAAGGCAAGGAAAGTAAGAGGGAAAGACCCTTCTTTAAATGTTTGAGACACTTTGACTGCATGGAACAAAAATATTTTTTATGATGAAGGAAAACTTTCTCATGGTAAAGGGAAGAGCCAAAAAGCTAGCAGCTGCTGTGTAGACTCAGGCTTTTGAGCTTTAATGACATCAACAGGACCTATGGACTCAGAATGTAGCTGCATATTGTTGGCATTATAAACTATTGTCTGTGTTTCATTTCCTTCATAATCTTGAAACTCACAGCAAAGTCTTATTAAAAGTTATAACTTGTTCCTGTGAAGGCAGAATAACAAAGACCAGGTTTTTTTCTACCTGAAATAACAAAAAAAAAATGGATAAAATATATATTTTTAAAGTGGTTGTGAAGGCACTGGTCACCATGCAAA